TGTAAATCTTATAAAGTACTAATTGTGATCCCAAAATACAGCCCATGTAAGTGTGTTTATATATAGAATACAAGAGTGTGTGTATACAAAATGTTAAGAGTGAACAAATCTACGCCGTGACGAGGAGTCGAACCTGCGTCCGAGAGCACCCCAGACGCTGCCTTAATCGACTGAGTTATGAGTAAAACCCTGGTTTGTGCCTTGGAGAGACTGCAGGATCCAGTAAGTTAAGTAGAACTTTGGTTTCAACTCCTTTTGACCATGTCGTAGCTCAGTCGATTAAGGCAGCGTCTGGGATGCTCTTGGACGCAGGTTCGAATCCTCGTCACGGCCCTTGTGGATTTGTTCATTTGATGCATCACGCAATTGTGATTTTTGTGTGTAAATGTTAAATGTTAAGAGTGTGTGTGTCATACCTATGAGTCAGAATCACACTACTAGGCCTAGTTAGCAGACACAGTTATAATTTAATTGCTAGAGCTTTTAATTTTGTTTTTCTTATATATCAGCCAAAATCATTCAGATTTTAATTACCGTATTTGTCGGCGTACAAGACAAATAGGCGAGGCGGTTTTTTATTTGTAAATGTATAAAAAATGGCCCCGCGTCTATTGCAGCCATATTACGAATGCGAGACCGAGCGCCATAGGCAAGGGAGCCAGATGAGCATACTAAGTTTGCTAGGCACAAAAATCGTTGCTAATAATAAAATATTGAAAACGAGCCAAATTATTACAGTCAATTGTTACTAATAATAAAATATTGAAAACAGGCAGAGTTATCACAGTATTATCACAAACTTACGAAAAATTGCTTACGATATACGTCAGCAGTTATGAAGGAAGCTCACATCTTGCAACCTTACCCAGCATACATAACCCAAATCTATGTCATACATTATTTAATGACTGTGTTACTTTTAAAACACATTCATTACATAAATGAAAAATGCTCCTAGAAATTTTAAAGGAATGTTCAACTTGCATTCGCCAGCCAGCCATTTGCAATGAGTGAATGACAACAAAACCAGAGCGTTATGATGATGCCCCACCACTGAGAGTGCCACCGCCGGGTGCGTAGCCCTGGTGGCCTGATGCAGCAACACAAAACATCACATCCAGAAATAAAAGTTTCACATCCTGTATAGCAATTCTCTTGCCCAAAATATAAACAACTACACAGCTGATCTTAGAGGAGGTAAGACTTGAGATACAAAATCCACTTGAAAATATTTTTCAATAAATGTATGATGAAACAAACTAATATAGTTTTTTCCACAAAAATAGCCTTGTAAATTAGGGGTGTATCCTATGCAAGGGTGCATCTTTTACACCGGCAAATACGGTACCACACACCGCTAATACTGATTACTATTTAACCTAGTTTTATGTAGGAACAGAGTTTTGGAATAATAGGCATATCTGGTTAAGAGACTGTTAGTTCACATTTAAAGTTTGCCTATTTTACTTAGGGTATTCAAATATAAATCTTTAGAAATACAGAAACTGTGCAGCTGAAAAATATAAATATATAGAAATAAAGGGCCTTAAAGTGCAGTACATGTGCAGTGAGGCTATTTCATGTCATGATATAAATTGTGAATGATATTTTGAACAAACGACATTTTTTCACTTTAATATTTACAACATTCTTTTATTTTACAGTATTATTCACATTTCTTCCGTCTCCAAGGTAAGACCTCCCTGTCGTATGAAAGTGGGAAAAGGGGGGTGGTAATAGTGAATAATTACATGACATCATATGCTTCTAAAGCAAATATTTTGACTGGAAAACCAAAAATACTGACTTCTGTAGTGGCACAAAGAGCACAATATATTCTTAATTCAAACAGAGAAACTGTATACAAAATATATAACTACAGTACCCTACATGGAAGGAATGCATACACTGTATACTGTATTGTACATAAAATGACAAATTCTAAAAAAATGCAATAATAAATGGACTAATATTCAAAACTATTTGAGCCACTTTATCACTTTGACGACGATTCCTTAATGTTATAAGTGAGCCTTTGCAACGACCTTCGGGTTCTTGATAGAAACTTCATAGGCCATGAACGCTATTTTCTACACAGAACTATATACAGTACTGTATATACTGTATATATTATATATAATGTATATACACAGTATATATAAATATACTGTACATATACAGTATATATATATATACTGTATATACACTAGCACACCAGTAACTGGCATAGTAGTGTAACAATTTTGTCATCAATCATGGCTAAGCAAAACTGTTCCCGTTACCTCATTTCTTGTCTGCGGTACATCTGACCCATTCTCTATGATGCAATACCAGATAAACCAATTAATTTTAACTGGTCTCTCTCTTGAACCATCAAGTTCATCTTCTAGCTTTACAACTTCAAGATAATCAGAATCATATACCGTACTGTACAACTGTTTGGTACAATATATGCCAGAAAATGCAGTATTGTACTTGCCTCGCAAGCACAATTAGGCGAGTACAATACTGCATTTTCTGGCATATGTAACTAATTTACAAGGATGCTTTAAAGATCTTTTTTTTTTAAGTATGTTTCATCATAAATATATTGATTGTTATTTTAACCCTTTAACTGCGCAACGCGCCTGCAGGCCCAGGCTTAGGGTGCGCAACACACCCCCGGGTGTTTTTATTTTTCACGTTCCATTCAAAACTCCCGCGGCTACATGGGGTTCACATCAGCTTCCTCAGGGGTCTTGTAAACAGACGCCATCTTAAAAAAAATCATGGTCCACATTGCCGGGTGTCAGAGCCTGAGTAGTGAGTGAGCAACCAAGGCTGGCGCTCGCAGCATGAGCGCACAGCACTGCTGTTCAGCGTGTGACCACAGCATTGCCTAATATTGTCAAAATATATATATAATCTGTTTTATTTAGCCATGATAGTATTATAGAAGAGCCCGAGTGTGATAATGACTGGGTACAACGTTCAAATATCAGTGATTCAATGCTGTTCACGATGTTCACAGCGTTAGCCACAGCACCACAGCATTATTTTGTCCATCTAGGAATCTTCAAACGACTTTTTAGGTTCCTTTTCAAAATAAACTTGTGGTCAATTATTCATTTACAGGTATTAGTGACCATAATTGTGGTTATAATGAGCGTTGTGCGTAGGAAGGAGAAATTTTGGTGAGGGAGGGAGGAAGGAAGAGAATTGAGGTAGCCTCACTGTGTGGCAGTAACTTTTGTTATGCTCACCATGCTAGCTTCGTGGTTCGCTATGGGGAACACACATGTACATGGGTATATACAGTGTGTGTGGAATAGTGTAATAACAGCACCAGGAGTATGTTGTGAGGAGCTATTTTGGTGAGGAAGGCGACTTCATAATCGTGGCGTCGTCTGCTGTCTGCTGTGTGATTTGTCATGCAGTGTATGGTGGCCACTATACTGTTTGGACACAATACCGGCTTACTTGCATAGTTCTGGTAAATAAAACATGTCGATAGGTATATATAACATGTGTAAATTGTGTAATAAATACAATAACAGTATGATGGGAGGAGCAATGTTGGCGAGTAAGATGTTGGAGTGAGGGAGGGCTGGCTGGGTGTGGCTGCTCACACTCGCGATGTTCTGAGTGTGTTGATGGTGAATGTATATAGTGTGTGGCAGTGTAGTGTGTGTACATATGTTGTAAATATACATAAATGAACTTGAAACATTCGTGTGAATAACTGTATGATTTGGAGGAGCAATGTTGGCGAGTTGGAGGAGTGAGGGAGGGCTGGCTGGGTGTGGCGGCTCACACTCGCGGTGTTCTGAATGTGTTGATGGTGAATGTATATAGTGTGTGACAGTGTATAGTCTGTAAATAGATTGTATATATACATAAATTAGCATGATACATGGTAAATATGTGCAACATATGTGTACACAAGTGTCATGCACGTAACACAGTGTCTTCGGACAGTACGGATGTTTTACTGCCATAATATAGTGTACGTGTTCATTATACATAGGATTAGCATGTAAAAACAAATAAAATGTATTTGGAACTGTGCGCAAAAAAAGTGCAAAAATATATTCGCGGCAACTCGCGTGCCCCGCCGGCCCCGGGTGCCCCACCGGCCCCGGGTGCATACTGCTCTGGCGCACGGGGAATTATGACGTCACGGCCCACCTTTCAGACCCCATAGCAGCCAAAATAAGTACAATTTCAAACTTGCGTTGCTATACCCATATACAGGGAGGGGTTTTTGACACTTTCCGAAGAAAAAATAATTTTTTCCCAAGGTTTTATTTCCTGCGCACTGGGGGGATGTCATATTTATAGGCCGCGCAGTTAAAGGGTTAAAGTGATTTTATAAGGAAAAACATAAGATTTTGTACCTGTAAATACAACTTACATGTGTAAATTGTATTTCCATGCACCGTTTATCCACCGCTGGATAAACAACATGCTCTCTAGGTGCCAGAAAATACAGTACTTCCTGACTATGATGATCGCATGAGTGACTGCTGGAAAATCTTTTCAACAATGCCCAAGTAAAGTATTCAATAGTTTTAATCATATACTGTACACTTATGTATTGCACGTTAGAAAACTCGGTATGTTGTGGTTCGACTCTGGCGTTCACTGCATTGTCAATTTAATATTCATTATCTCTTGTACATTTGCCCTGTATATCCAGCAGAGAAAAAAGCAATGTGGAAACTATGACTTCTACTTGCCATATTAACTTTTAATACCGATGTCAGTCTCCAAATAACATAGCCAAGGAATATGAAATAAAATGAAAGTGACGATGTTTCGTTTCATCTTGGCCTGTCACCAAGCTGTGACCTTATCAATTCACTACCTGGGGCCAGATTCATGAAGCAGTTATGCAAGCACTTACGAACCTGTACATCTTTTCTCAATCTTTGGTGGCTTTGTTTACAATTATTAAACAGTTAATGAGCTCTGAAGCACCAGGAGGCTGTTTATAATAACAAAAACAATTGATTGGGAGGTTTTCATGCTTGTAAACTGTTTAATAAATGTAACCAAAGCCATCAAAGATTGAGGAAAGATGTACACGTTCGTAAGTACTTGCGTAACTGCTTCGTGAATCTGACCCTTGATAAAGAGCCCCCAGCTAACTGAAATGTCATTATTTTCATTTCATACGAATCACTCGATTTATTTATTTCAGTCACATTATTGTGGCCTATTTTCTGCATCAATGAAGAATTATTATAGTAGGATAACAACCATGATATTCACCTGTATTTGACATGTATACCTCGAGATCTTCACAACTCAAGTCTCACATGATATACTCAAAATGTTGTTGTGTTGGACTGCACCTTTTAAAGACCAGCACATACCCAGACAATGCATGAAGAGAAGCTGCCAATTATTCGTTTTACTAAAAATCTAGTTTTCATTATCATATACTTCTTAAGAGATTCTTATAGAAGCAATGGTAGCTATTATAGATGTTATGAGGCATCACATAATGAACAATTTATCTTGTATGCTGGAGTTTGTTTATTTACGACGGTATGTAATGTGAATGATATCGTGAATGGAGAAGAGATTCATTTATTTTATAAAATTTACAACCTTTCTCCAATTCTTGTTTTATGGTGTGATGCCTCTTTATCACATCAAAGTGGGGAAATAGGATGATAATGTATGTAATAAAATCCATATAATACTCGAAGGGTTACGTTTAAACAGTTAAATACTGAATAGTATGAACATCGTATAAAGGAATCTCAAAAACTTACAATCTATTAACATTACATGTACAAAAGTAAACATTGTTTTTACCTCCATTGTCACGATGGAAGAGGGACACGTGCACAAATGGAGCTCCAACCAGTACCTACTGTGTATTCCCAGCTTGTGCCTAATGGACAAGATGGCGATATTCCAAGTCTGCGTGCAATCACTCCCTGTACTGTTCCCTTTTCTGTGACATAGGAGTCCAACACTGCCCACAGAGATCCGTCGGCACCAACACTAAAACTCGCGATATTTCCACATACCCACTCCCAGCTGGTTCCTTCTGGGAAGAGGGGTAGGACATTTGTCCGACGGTAAAGAGAACCGTCTCGGTCCAAGCCCCACACTGTTCCAGCACCAGCACTAACTTCTACAAGTGGCTGTCCTGGTGAATCAATGTTGACCCAGTCTGTACCCTGTAACACAATTATGAAATCTGAATTGGAAAAACAGCCCTGTTTGGGAATGGCAAAATATGGCACTAAGCTAGAGTTAAACTAATATCTGATCTCATATACTGTACTCATATGTAATGGCAGGTTGTCATGATCTACTTTAATGATTCACATTCTCTGAGTATGATGGACCCTATTCTTTGTTTACAAAACTTTTGGGGACCTGGTTGTAAACCAAATGGCAGATTGTTTTCCAGGGAAAATGAGTAGAGTTAGACTGAAGTTGATGTGTGGGAAAGAAGAGCTCTAAGCCTGCTAACAAGAGACAGAACTTGTTTGCTCCTGTTCACTCCTAAATCTACCCAGAACACTGATCATACACCAGGCTCTAATTGACTTTTAGCCCCGTGACAAGTACGTTAAGGAGCTGGTAACATCTACTTAGTGCCCTGTCTCACCTAAGGGGTGAGAACAGGTGCTAGATCAACCAACACCAGCCCAAGCCACAAGAAAGCGATCTAGTTACAAAAGGAGTGTACACAGACTGCAATCAATTATGAAAAAAAAGGCATTTGTAGCCATGAACTAAAAGGGTAAACAAAAATGAGGAACATTTACAACCTCAAGTGAAAATCTGGTTTAAAGATAGCCACTGGAGAGCATATAACAGACAATACATACATAGCTAGAGCTTGCGTGTTATAACAAGGCCAGCAACAATGCCTCGGCCAGATATGAAGTCCTAAAGGCACTGCTTAGGTAATGGCCCAACTGAAGAGAACCACGCAATGAAGAAAGCTATGTCAAACAGCCATAGGAAAGATACTCCAAGGATTATTAATTCTCAACAATCAGCTCCAGGGACGATAATCCTGGGAGTCAAGCTGAAGCAGTTAACAATACCTTAATGACAGTCACGCAAATGACTGGGTACCACGTCAAGAAGCAATCCCTAAAGTAAAGAACCTTCTACAGCAACACATAGCCTAATGAGATGAATGACAAAAGTGAGGATCTCAATGATCATGAGAAAGATTATAGTAAAAGCAGATCAAAATAAATCCTGATTGTTGGTACTCGGTGACTTCAATTTGAAACCAATAAACTGGGTAAGCCAATGAAGCAAAAACGAAGGACATTTGGAATGGCAGATTCAAAAACCTCATCCTTGAGACATTCCTGTATCAAAACATTAAGCAGGTTATGAGAATGAGAGATGATGATGTTCCATCAATGATGGATTTGACATTCACCAGAAAGGGGAAAAAATAAAAACATTCAGTACCTCTCTCGGGTAAGAGCAGCCCATGTTTTCTTGCAAATAAAATACTGTACTGTATGTAATGTCTTATAATCTAGAAGAGAATGGGGAAAAGAACACAAATGAGTTCAATATAGGGGCCTGACAGCCGAGTGGACAGAGCTTCGGATTCGTAATCCTGAGGTTCTGGGTTTGATTCGCAGTGAAGGCGGAAACAAATGGGTAGAGGTTCTTTCACCCTGATGCTCCTGTTCCCTAGCAGTAAATAGGTATCTGGGAGTTAGACAGCTGCTACGGGCTGCTTCCTGGGGATGTGTAACAAAAAGGAGGCCTTGTCGAGGACCGGATCGCGGGGACGCTAAGCCCCGAAAATCATAAGATAACCTCAAGAAGGCCTAACCCTCAAACATACCAGAAACAAAAATAAGCAAGAAATAACTACACGGCAGTGAGGAAAGAGAAACTCTGAGAAAGAGATAGTGGACAAATGTAAAACAGACCTATTCTATAAATTTATTAAAAGCAAGCTGCATGTACAGGATGAAATCCAGAGAATGAAAATGGGGGAACAGATTCACACAGAATGAAAAAGAATGTGTAAAACCTTAAATGAACAGTTCTAAAGTTTATTAATGTAAGATGAGTTTTTCAGAGAACCAGAAACAGTGCCAATTTCAGAGATTATCATAGAGTACATAGAGGTGTCAAGACAAAGTGGAAAAATGACTCAAGGAGCTAGGAAGACCCAAGGCAGTTGGACCAGATGAAGTTTCACCTTGGGTCCTGAGAGAATGCACACCTGAGCTCACCACTCCACTTGAATTAATATTTCAGATATCTTTGTGTACAGGAATCTTAGCAGACATGGAAAAATGCAACTAGTTCAAGTCTACAAAAATGGTGGCGAGAAGACCCTCTAAATTATAGTCCGGTATCATTAACAAGCATATAGTCAAAACACTGGAAAAAATAGTTGAAACCAAATGGGTTGAATATCTGGAGAGAAATTATACAATAACAGACAGACAGTTTAGTTTTCGAACAGGAAGATCCTGTGTAACAAATCTACTTAACTTTTATGATAAAACCACAGAGATTGAGGAAACAGATGGTTGGGTAGAATATATCTATCTGGACCTAAAAATGGCTTTTTGACAAAGTCCCACACAAAAGGTTGTTTTGGAAATTGGAACATGCTGGAGGGGTGACAGGGAGACATCTGACATGGATGAAAATTTTCAAACTAACAGAAAGATGGGGGCAGTAATCAGAAGCAATGTACTGTATTTGACTGGAGGAGTGTTACTAGCGGAGTACCAGAGGGTTCAGTTCTTGCACCAATGATGTTCATCAGCTACATAAACGCTCTACCATCTACCAGAAGGAATACATGAACATGTTTGCTGATGATGCTAAGCTACTAAGGAAGGTAGGAGACCAAGATTGTCATACCCTTCAATTGGTCTAGATAAAATAAGTGCTTGGAGCACTATGTGGCAAATGGAATTCAATGTGAATAAATGCAGCATTATTGAATGTGGTATCAGAGAAAATTGAATTTTTTCACAATTTACACACACAACTTACTAATTATGTTTAAAGCAATTAAAGAACTCTAACAAAGAAAGAAATCTATGGGTGGCTTTGGATGGTAGAGTGTCACCAGAGGAACATAAAGAACATTGTGCAAGGAGCACATGCATCTGTTTCCAACTTCCGAGTCGCTTTTAATTATATGGATAGTGAAATACTAAAGAAACTACGGGTGGTTTTCTGGACTTTTGTGAAACCAAAATTGAAATATGCAGCAGTTGTATGGTACCCGGTCGGCCGAGCGGACAGCACGCTGGACTTGTGATCCTGTGGTCCTGGGTTCGATCCCAGGCGCCGGCGAGAAACATTGGGCAGAGTTTCTTTCACCCTATGCCCCTGTTACCTAGCAGTAAAATAGGTACCTGGGTGTTAGTCAGCTGTCACGGGCTGCTTCCTGGGGGTGGAGGCCTGGTCGAGGACCGGGCCGCGGGGACACTAAAAAGCCCCGAAATCATCTCAAGATAACCTCAAGAAGATACTCATATCTCAAGAAGCACATCAATAAACTGGAAAAGGTGCAGCGGCATGCTACAAAATAGCTCCTGGAACTGAAAAATAAGTTACAAACAAAGGCTAGAGGTGCAAAATATGCCAAAGCTATAAGATAGAAGAAAAAGAAATGATATGATCACCACTTACAAAATAATAACAGGAATTGACCAAATTGACAAAGAGGAATTCCTAAAACCAGCAACTTCAAGAACAAGAGATCACAGATTCAAGCTAAGAAAACAAGGTACCAAAAAATATTAGAAAGTTTTCTTTTGAAGAGTGGTAGATGGTTGGAACAAGTTAAGTGAGGTGATAGAGGAAACCAAAAACATCAGTAGTTACAAAGCGTTATATGACAAAAAGAATGGTGGGAAGACTGGACACCACAAGCATAGCTCTCATCCTGTAACTACACTTAGGTAATTACTGTTGGGTGAACAAAGGCATTAGGTGAAAGGAAATATGCCCAACTATTTGTACTTCTTCTGGGGATAAAACCCATGATCCACAGAGTACGAGTCAAGGCTATGAACCCCACGTGGTGTTGTACATCCCAAACCTGCCGACTCACCTGTGGAGTCTTCTTCGTTATGCCAAGCCTCAGATGTGCTCGGCCATCTTTGCTCACAGCCCACACCCCACAGCCGTCCACACCAGCACACACGCTGCACATGGGACACTCTGCTGGTACCAGTACCCACTTCTCCCCCTCGTGTTTGGATTCCGTCACACCTTGGCGGATCACAACTTCACCCGTGACACTCACGCCCCACACTGGTATTGTGCCATCCTCAGCATACTCTGGCTATGGTGAAAAAGATAAAATATTGATTAATCTTCCATGATTTTGTGAAATGAGTATATTCCTACATTTAATGACGGGCATGTACTGTACTTTAAGAATTACTATAAATGTAGTAATATAATTACTGTATTAGATACAGTATCTGCATGGATAAAAATGTGCATTACTGGCTTTAAACAACTGCATAATTTTGCAAACTACTCTTCTGTCTGGTATGAATAAAGCAACTTACAGAACAACTTACAGAACCAAGCCAGGTAAATTACAAAAAAACAAGCCATGCAATTTATAGAAACAAGTCAAGTAACTTATGGTTTCAAGCCATGCAACTTACAGAAACTGAGACATGAACAAGTGCCACCTTCTCCATCTGTGACCAGGGACCCGACGTCGAGACTCGGCACTTTCTCACCCAGCGACGGCGACGCACCAGGTCTGTCACGTAGCGGTGGCCATGGTAACTAAGGGGGAAATCTGTGGCATATTGCCACCCTTCACGATCGACTCCTCCTGGGGTGTGATAGTCCACGCACCACTCGCTCGTCTGTTGGCACCCACGCTCAAGTTAGAATTAATTGAATTTCTTTTTCATCATTCTCCATATTTGCACTTCAACAGTTCATATATATTCCTTATTTAAAACGTCTTTGGTCATTATAGGCATTATAATATTGAAGAGATGTTTTATGGTGTATTTTGAAGGTTTTTTGCTTTGTGGATTTATGTCCCTTCTATACCCTGAACAAATATTGCACATCTCACCTCACTAAAACTAACTGTAACGTCACACATTAATACTTTTCACCATATTTTCCTGTGCAGTGAATTCCTGTTCCTTTCGATCCAGTAAGCGATCAGATGCAATGTAAACAAAGGATTAACAAGAAATTTATACTAAGGTCACTAGAAAGGTCTAGGCTAAAGTGATGATGAAATCGATCTACTGTACTGGAACAGCCTTATAGAAAACAAGTGTGGGTATCTGCCTCCTTTGGCATCATTCATCTGATGACTTTCTGCTCTCGGATTGCCATGAAGAATAATATTTAGGAAGTCTTGATTAACCTGGAACACAGACAGGTTATACTGCCATTCTGATTTAGACCTTTTTGATAATTATTTGATGACAGAAAGGAAGCTTCATCTACATCCCATCTCAATCAGGTAAAAGCAATAGCGGCCATCCATAGTTTTAAAATCTTGTGACTGTGGACTGCTGTAGGAACTAAAGTCCAATTAGCCAGAAAAGAAGTTATGGCTAGAGTCCAATGCCACAATGGGAGGTCCTAGGTGGAGACCACTTAACCGAGAACAAACCACCGGTGTGCTGTTGGAGTACAGATGGAGAGCCAAGCCCCCTCGGCAGAGCCATGAACTGGAGAACAATCCAGACTGTTGCAATTTTTTGGGGGACTTGTAAATGCAACAAAGTTAAAGACCCCGCTGCTCCATGTGATAATGACTGGAAACAAAGCCCCATCCCACACCGAATGTATTGGTTGTGTACAATAAAAATATCGACAGCTGCAGCTGTAAGCTGCTAGGATGTAAAACCCAGAAAAAAATCACAGAAATCTTACGCATTACTGACCTTGAGTAAAAATCATGCATAATAATGGAAGCAACAGCTCAACGCTTTCATCCAGATGCAGCCCAGAGAGCTGCATATTACACTAGCAAAACCGAGGCAACCCAGGTGGTGGTCAAGAATTTGACAAGAGGTGGTGCTTTTTTCTGGACGAGCTGAAGATGGGAAGTTATTTGAGCTAACACAGCCTTTGGAAGGAAAATGGTAGTTGCACTAGAGGTGAAATTACAGTTCATTGATTAATAATCCAAATCTACTCAGTACTGCTAATGCAGAATCCCTGGCTAGGAAGCCAAATCAAAGGAATAGGGTCCAAATGAGCCAGTCATCAACGTATGCATAGTCATCAATTCCCAGGAGCTTTAGCATCCAAAATGCAACTCTCGAGTCTGGAGACAGTACTTGGAAGGGAAGGGAATTATCAGGAGAAAGCACCAAGCCATTTTGACTATAAAGCCTATAAAGGGGATCAGAATAAGGATTTGGGATGGGATGGGGGTAGGAATGTTTGCCCAACCACTTGGACTGTTGGGCAACAATGCCGACCTGCACGAAGCGAGACACTCTCTCTACCATCCAGCCCAAGTGGTCGGGCAAGGAGCCAGAATCACCCAGTATTGAGAACCAGATTCTGGCTTCCAAGAATCTTGGAGAGCACCCAAGAGTGATGGCTGTGACTCAAAACCCCAAACAATCCTCAAATCTTGAATGGATAGACATGCACCAACAGGCATCCTTGAGATCTAGTAACACAAGTGATTAAACACCACCTGGTAAACCACAGTCGGCTTTAGAGGAAGACTAAAAAGGGGGAATGAGAGTATTGATCTGGCAAGTTAAGAATTATCTTTCTAAGGCATGTCTCTTTTAATGAGAAGAAAAAAGTGGGAGTGGACCCACAGTGACGGTCACAGCATCCCTGGCATGTGGGCGCAGAGGAGCAGAGTAGACAGGTGCCTGCTGTCAAGGAAATCCCTAAAGGGATGAGAGGGATCACACCATCACTGGGACCTTCCACCCAAGAAAGGATTAAGAACCAACAGATGCCTGCCGGCTCATCCAAGAAGGTATTGCAAACAAGTATAGCACATTTGCTTGAGGAATACACACACACACACACACACACAATCTTGTCTTGTGACCATCGTGTTGGGTGGACGTGGGTTGGGAGCTCCTGGTTCACTAGTGGAGTGGGAGGGGTAATCAGGCAACTTCGAAGTGAAAAAGTGTGTACAAGTGAATGAAAAAACCTTGAGTTTTGGCCAGAGCCATAAGGTAGTGAAGAAAAACAGTTTAAATAGCGTAATTCAATATAGTTGAGGAAGTATTGTGGCAGTGTGTAGTGTGGAGCAGACCTCACCGACCTCTGACCGCGTGACCTCACCCCGGCAGCAACCCTCCTACCACCACGTGGGACGACGCTTGGAGATTCACTCACCTATTGTGTTAGCAGGACGGTAAGATACTTGGAACCCCTGTGGGTAAGGTTGCATTATAGCAATGACTAGGTCAGGAAGGGGGTCTAGGTCCAACAGTATTATGATTGAGGAAGAAGATAGGTTTGTGGAGAAGATGATTGGGAAATTTGTAGAGAAGAGGGATGTTTGGATAGGTGATCTAATCCAGGGGATTAAAAGTGAAGTCTTTAATAAGATACAGGGCGAGGTTCAAAGACTCAAACAAGAGTTTATGGATTATATTCAAGAGGAAATCAGGAAGAGCAGGGTAGAATGGCAAGGAGAAATATCTAGACTTACTAATGAATTTGGCAGGAATAAGGGAAGCTTGGCAGGGGAAGGGGTAGTAGTAGTAGGTGGAGTAGCGGGTGTAGGAGGGGTGGGGGTCAGCCAGGGAGAGGGCCACCAGCATGACCCTGAACTGAGAAAGAGGACAATCATAATCCATGGATTACTTGAAGCCAGGGCACCATCGAGGCAGGAAAGGATGGAGATTGAGGATTTGGAACTACAGGGGATCTTGAGAGACATGAGAGCCCAGATGGCAGGGAATGAGGTGCAAGTCCACCGACGCATTGGACCATACAACTGTAACAGGAAACGACCTGTCCTGGTACAGTTCACTAACGAAGAGGCAGTGGATTACATACTGCATCACAAACACCTACTCAGAGGTAGCGAAAATTACTACAACGTATTTATTGACAAATTCATGACGAAGGAGGAACAGATTGCCCACAGAGCATGCAAACAACAATACGACTCTTCCCATTTGAGCGCAGCTACACACCCCAGTGCTAATCCACCCCATGCTAACCAGCTCACAAGTGCTTCTCAGGTCACCCCTTCCCCAAATCAGCCGCCCCTGCTTATCTCCCCAGCACATCCCTTGACCCCTCTGACCCCACTGGAGTCAAATTCATCCCACATTCCAAGGACCCCCTCATCACCTCAACCCCCAAAACCCGTCCAGCCCTCATCCCCTCAACCCCCAAAACCCACCCAGCTCTCATCCCCTCAACCCCCAAAACCCATCCAGACCTCATCCCCTCAACCCCAAGAACCCACCCAGACCTCATCCCCTCAACACCCAAAGCCTACCCTGCCCTCACCCCTCCTCATCCCCTCTCCTTCCATGTGACCCCCCACCCTTGCGAGGGAGGTGGGAGGTCCCCCCCACCCCCTCTATCCTTCCCCCTCCCAACCTCTCAACCTCTATCTGTCTCCCAACCTTACGCTATCTCCCAACCCCTCTATGCCCTCCCTAATCTTCAGACCCAGTATGCCCTTCCTACTCCAGACCTACCTACCCAGGCCCTACCCCAGACCCTCCTACCTACCTTCCTAGAAGCCCAGCCCCCAGTAGCCCCCCAAGCACCCCTCCTGAACTCTTTCACCCCCCATACACCCCCCGGACCCCCCCAGACACCCCCCGGATCCCCCCGGACATCCCCCGGACCCTCCCCGCCCCCAGTCATCCCCCAGATCCCCTGGATCCCCTCTGCCCCCAGTCACCCCCCAGACATCCCCCAGATCCCCCCAGACCCCCAGAGAAAGGGAGAACTCTGGTACAAGAGTTTCCATGAAGAATCTCAAGGTTTGGTACACCAATGCTGATGGGGTATCTAATAAAGCAGAAGAGATAAAAGAAAGAGTGAGTGAAGCAGATCCTGACATAGTTGCAATTGTGGAAACTAAAATTAATGACATGATCTCAGATGCAATCTTTCCTGAAGGGTACCAGGTGATACGAAAAGAGAGGACACAGAGACAGGGAGGGGGAGTAGCACTCCTAATAAAGCGGAAATGGAAGTTTGAAGACCTGGGAAATCGAGTTACCAATGAGTGCACAAGCTTCATACATGGAACTCTGACAGTAGATGGGAGGAAGATTGTGATCATGGTAATCTACAATCCCCCACCAAACAGTAGAAGACCCAGGCAGGAGTATGATGACAACAACAAAGCATGTATAGATGAACTGCAGAAGGCAGCAACACTAGCCCACAGAATGAGAGCGAAGCTGCTGATCATGGGGGACCTAAATCATGGAGAGATAAATTGGGAATCAAGGAATCCCCATGGAGGGGACGAAACGTGGGGAGCAAAATTAGTAGATGTTATAGACAGGAATTTCCTGACACAACATGTGAAGGAAGACACAAGGGAAAGAGGAGGAGATGCACCGAGCCTATTAGACCTGATTTTCACCCAGAACGTAGAAGATAGAGAATTTAGAGCATGAAATACCTCTAGGGGCCAGTGACCATTGTGTCCTAGTCTTTGACTACATGATGGAATTCAAACTTATGACCATGGGACAAGAGATCTGGGAAAGGAGAGCTGACTACAGGAAAGGGGACTATATGAGGATGAGGGACTATCTGGGTGAAGTGCAGTGGGAGGAAGAAATTAGAGGAAAAACAGTCCAAGATATGATGGACCTAGTCATACAGAAATGCCAGGAGGCCGAAGAGAGATTTATACCAACGGTAAAGGGAAAAAATAAGAAGGAATATAATAACCCATGGTTTAATAGACAGTGTCAGGAAGCAAAAATGGCCAGCAGGCGGGAGTGGAGGAAGTACAGAAGACAAAGAACAGAGGACAACAGAAGCAGATACAACAGAGCTAGGAACGATTACATTAACATAAGACGAACATCGGAAAGGGACTATGAGAACGATATTGCAATCAAAGCGAAAAAACAACCTAAGTTACTACACAGTCATATAAGAAGAAAAATGTCGGTGAACGACCAAGTGACAAGACTAAGGAAGACAGAGGGGGCATATACTGAAAGTGACAAGGAAATCTGCGAGGCACTGAATGCCAGTTTCCATGGAGTGTTCACTACCGAGCCTGAGCAGCTCCCATTGTTGGAAGGGGTTACCCTAGATGAAAGACTATCAGATATAGAGGTGACAGCAGAGGAGGTAATGAAACAGTTGACAACTCTAGATGCAACTAAAGCAGTTGGACCAGACAAAGTATCACCGTGGATACTAAAAGAAGCAGCACAGGCCCTCAGCGTGCCTCTGGCAATGATCTTTAATGAGTCACTTATGTCAGGAGAATTGCCCAGTTGCTGGAAGAAGGCAAATGTCGTGCCGATCTTCAAGAAAGGAGATAGGGAGGAGGCACTTAACTACAGACCTGTATCACTGACAAGCATCCCCTGTAAAATACTGGAAAGAATAATTAGGCTACGACTGGTTGCACACCTGGAGAACATTAGGTTTGTGAACAAACATCAACATGGGTTCTGGACAGGGAAATCGTGCCTAACAAACCTTCTGGAATTCTATGATAAAATAACGAGGATAAGACAGGACAGAGATGGTTGGGCAGACTGCATATTTCTGGACTGCCAAAAAGCCTTTGATACAGTACCGCACATGAGACTGCTGTTCAAGCTCGAGAGGCAGGCGGGGGTGGGGGGAAAGGTCCTAGAATGGATAAGGAACTACCTAACAGGAAGGAGCCAAAGAGTTACGGTAAGGGGCGAGAAGTCGGACTGGCGAACAGTAACAAGTGGAGTACCACAAGGATCGGTGCTGGGACCAATTCTATTTCTTGTATATGTTAACGACATGTTTACAGGCGTAGAGTCCTACATGTCGATGTTTGCGGATGATGCAAAGTTGATGAGAAGAGTTGTGACAGATGAGGATTGCAGGATCCTCCAAGAGGACCTGAACAGATTGCAGAGATGGTCAGAGAAATGGCTACTAGAATTCAACACGAGCAAATGTAAAGTTATGGAAATGGGACTAGGAGATAGGAGACCAAAGGGACAGTACACAATGAAGGGGAACAGCCTACCTGTAACGACGCGTGAAAGAGACCTGGGGGTGGACGTAACACCTAATCTATCTCCTGAGGCACATATTAATAGGATAACGACAGCAGCGTACTCTACACTGGCAAAAGTTAGAACATCATTCAGAAACCTAAGTAAGGAGGCATTTAGGGCGCTTTACACTGCCTACGTAAGGCCAGTCTTAGAGTATGCCGCCTCATCATGGAGTCCCCATCTGAAGAAGCATATAATGAAACTGGAAAAGGTTCAGAGGTTTGCAACGAGACTCGTCCCAGAGCTACGAGGGATGGGGTATGAAGAGCGCCTGAGGGAACTGTGCCTTACGACACTAGAAAGAAGAAGGGAGAGGGGGGACATGATAGGAACGTATAAGATACTCAGAGGAATTGACAGAATGGACATAGACGAAATGTTCACACGGAATAGTAACAGAACGAGAGGACATGGATGGAAGCTTGAAACTCAGATGAGTCACAGAGATGTTAGGAAGTTTTCTTTTAGCGTGAGAGTAGTGGGGAAATGGAATGCACTTCAGGAACAGGTTGTGGAAGCAAATACTATTCATAATTTTAAAACCAGGTATGATAGGAAAATGGGACAGGAGTCATTGCTGTAAACAACCGATGCTCGAAAGGCGGGATCCAAGAGTCAATGCTCGATCCTGCAAGCACATATAGGTGAGTACACACACACACACACACACACACACACACACACACACACACACACACACACACACACACACACACACACACACACACACACACACACAAGAAACTCTATAGGAGGAGAGAAAGTGTCAGAATCTGGTCCCTCAATTCAGTAGAGGCAAGGGGAGTATGGGGTGGAGGTACAGATGTGCAGGTTTCAATTGGAACCCATAGTACAATGACTGGAAAAGTAGAAAACACATGCCCCACTTTTTCCTCAAGAAAGAGCAGGATGGAAATAGGTTAGAACAATAGAAAGGTAATCCAAGCAAAATTTTGGAACAGATCCATCACTGCACAACTACAAATAAAAACACAAGTACCATGAAGAAGCTGGCAACTGAATCATAAAGAATGGTCACAGACATCTAGGACAAGTCACACACACACACAGCTAGTGCCGGCATGAATATGAATGCAGGCAATGCTCAAACTGACTTGCTGAGGCCACTAAAGACTGAATCTGCATGGAACCAAAAGAAGCACCTGGCAGGCAAGGAACTTGACAATACCTGCCAAGCTGTGAGTTTTGAAGTTCACCATAATAAGTTGATGTGATAAGGATAGTGCCATCTCTCTAGACAGAACTGAGGTACAAGGGGTACAGAGTCTTTCTCTGCCAAAGCCACACTGAAGATGAGGGGAAACCTCTTTCCAACAGGGTATGGGTGATCAACAGTATAACTGCCATTTCTTCACAGAAAATAAGGGATTAAATGTCTTTCAAAAGTCAGTGGGAATCTGGTAAAGCGGTCAAGAAGACGTGGAAATCAAATCAAGAAGAGTGGAATACTGTTCCAGAACATGGTTCCCATCACTCAACAAGAGCATCAGGCAATACTGAAGAACCGGTGTAGCGGTGAAACATCACTGCCCTCCCGAGAAACAATGAACTAAATGTAAAATGGAAGAGGAGGCATCCAACTGAAACTAAGTACTGTTGAGGCAAAGAGGTCATCGAATGATGAGAAATACCTTCCAAACTGGGAACCACTATTCTAAGATAAGTCAGAATGTAGCAGATTGTCTTGACACTCACTGTCATAGGCTAAACCACCTCCTCCACCTGAGAATAAGAGGAGTCAGCTGCCTGGCTCTGCCAAGAAATGTATTATAATCCATCTCTAAGTCACAGCTAAATAATGGAAGCTGCTCCATACGAGCCTTTAATGCCTCCCGAGAAGGAATGGATCATTTTCCCACTTGAAAGCAGGGAGAGAAAATTACTCTGGCCTAGATTCAGGCCTCTCATACAACTCCCTCAGCATGTAAAAGCAGATCGTACGTGAATTCGCCTTCGTATTTCTTCCAGCATGATACCTTTCCAACTCGCAAAAATAATAAATGGGATACTGTTGATGATGATGGTTCATGATTGTATATATATACAAAATTTTATATAGATCCAAGTTATCATAAGTCATGCCTGGCCCCAAGCCAAGCCTGTAGAGTAGAAGAGCTCCCAGAACCCCTTCCAGGGATACTCCAGGTATCTTCGGAGAAGTGAGTGCTTACTTGGGGCATTTTGGTCCCTCGGTCTTCAGATACAACATAGTTGACTGCACTTATGATACATCTAGGATAGAATCCTGCCAAACACACGACGAAACTATGATGTTGCTACAATGTTCGAACAACTTTTAACACCTTACAAGCAGTAACAAGTATCTAGCAAGTTGTAACAACTTTCTAACATGTCATAACAAGATGTAACAGCTTTGCAACAAGTTATAATAAGGTAACAATAGGGACCATTATGCTGTGTGTTTGCAGAGTTTCCTTATACAGTACTGGTATAATGTGTGCGGAAATAAAAACCGCTATTTGTCTATGAGTGAGTGCGAGGAAGAGCCAAGCAGGAAGAGATATGACATGCTACCAACCAGCAATGACTAGCTTCTGAAATTACCCTGTTTGAACCAGTACGGATTTTTCTGCAATATATTCAGATTTTACTCTATTTCTTCATAATAAAGAAGTAACTATCATAGGTTTGCTTAACACAGTTCAGTAATTCTGGTGTTGAAGACTGCCACTTGTGAGCGGGCAGTTACCAAACATCATTCCTAAGCTGACTCGTGTATAATCTATAATGATACTTGAGGTTATTTTGAAATGATTTCGAGGCTTAGCATCTCCGTGGCCGGGTCCTCAACCAGGCCTCCTTTTTGTCAAACATCCCCAGAAAGCAGCCCGTAGCAACTGTCTAACTCCCAGGTATCTATTTACTGATAGGTGAACAGGGACATCAGCGTAAAGCTGTCCCATTTGTTTCCGCCTTCGCCGAGGATCAAACTCGGAACCTTAAGACTACGAATCCCGAGCTCTGTTCACTCAGCCGTCAGGCCCCATGATAATATTTATCATGATGATATTTTGATACTGGTTATGATAACATTTTATTTATTTTATTTTTATATACAAGAGTTCTTACATCCTTGTAAAGCCACTAGCATGCATAGCGTTTCAGGCAGATCCAGCACAAGTATGACTAACAATATCACATTTGATTAACCAATAATGATGGCTCTAATATTATTTATAATTACCACTACAACCCAACAGCATTAAGAGTATTAATATTATTTAACTACTTTTATCGATTGCTGTCTTTTGTATTTATTAAATAATGTATCCCATTGACTTTTCACATTAAAACCAATATACTGTACAGTAAACCTGGAATGTTACTTGCATTAATGTTACAAGCTCTCAAGTCAAGCCTGGCCTCGAGCCAGGCTTGGAGTGTAGAAGAGCTCCTAGAACCCCATCAAGCAGGTGTTATTTTACCCATGATAAAAGCAAGATATTCCTCATACACCTCACCCAAGACCAATGACGGGACTGCAATCTGATGGTCTCCTTTGCACGGTGGTGACGTCCTGTCTGGTCGCTCCAAGTGTGGCGGTCAGTAGGAAGTCCTCGGTGGGTGAAGCCAGTCACCGGGTTCCAGCGCTGATTCTCCCACACGTACATGTGCCGCACATCGCTCATAATCTGCACTCCTGTGTCATTACTACTGGCTGTGGGAGGATACATCCCTTTAATTGACCCAACATGATACATGCTGATTTGTAAACTAGAGGGTGTGCCTCAGTCTCCATTGTTAAGTCATAACAAGAGTGCTAGTTCGTGTGGAGTAAATTCTTTTATTAATAATGATTGCCCTGAATAGATCGTCTAATAACAATTATTAAAACCGAGTTAAAATATTACAGTAGATACACGTTAGTCTAACTGCATAAGCAATTGCAAATAGGATATGCAGAGATCAACTGGAAATAACTGATGAACTAATTATGGATAATTATTTATGGATGCAACCCACAATAGTTGGCTAGGTCCCAGGTACTTATATACTACTAGGTGAACAGTCGCATTACGTGTAAAGAAATGTGCCCCGATATCTCATCGTCTGGGAATTGTACCTGGGACGGTTGTGAACCAACCGCAGTGGACAGTGCATTACAGCAGCCCAGCCTCTCCAGAGCTGCCAATGTCGGTAAACTGACGTACTAAATTCCCCAAACCTAACCTAATTGAAGATCCATGAAAAGAAAATTGTACATCACCTCAATTTTGCAAGCCACTATGACTTATTACATCAGTTTTTGCCCTCGGGGGGGATTTATACGTCAAAATGCACCATACTATTCGAAAGGACGGGTTGATCACAGATACGTGAAGCAACTATATTAATGAACAGCAGTCCTAAAGAAAACCATCCTGTTAGATGGTAGCAAATTAATTTGATATAAATATGACAAATGCCTCACTTTTATAAAGTCCTCCACCTGTAGCTCCCGTGTAGGTGTAAACATGGAAGTCATGAGATATGCCCCAGGTTACTCCACCAGCTCCACTCTCCACACACTTCAAGTGTCCGCCCAGGCCTTGCCAGTACCATTCACTCAACTGACGCTCTCCCTGTGATAACATTATCTGCGATAAATATTCAGCAAATGGTCAGATTAATCATGGACAAACCATTAATTATCTACCAGAAAACTTGCAAAAAATAATTGATACACTTCTTTAGAAATCAGTTCAATATAATGATTCTTAACATTAAATCTATAGACATATACTGGTACTGAAGGTGGTGTACGCACAGCTCCATGGTTATAGGTCACTGCGTCAACAGTGATGCCTCCTCTCACCACCAAGTGTGTGATTTTTGCAAATGAAAAACGATGCTTGAAGCTACACCAAAATTTATCGTTTATGGAGATCTGAAACAAGCATGTTATTTTAAAATGATTCTGGATTATCAGTCCACACTCCACAAACTCATATTATTTCAGAGGGGTATATTCATAGTGCTGTGTAAGTAGTATAATACACTATATATAGTACAGTATATTCATAGCCAAGTACCTGCTTCTTCACTAATTGTAATGGTCTGAATTAATGTGAATATTCTGTAACTTAAAGTTATCATATTCTTCCAGTTTTTACAATTAAGTAATAGATATTTATACTTTAATAGAAGAGCTAACCTTGAAGTCATTGTCGTCACAGACGACCGACACTTCACAGTGAACACCGGGAGACAATCCTGTCAGGTCCTCGATCACTTCACTACCCCAGATGCCCTTCTTCTTACTATTAAGCACACTGTTCTGAAATATACACAATAAGAGTCAAAATTCAAGTTCACTATCAAAAACCAAGTTTATAAAGTAATGAAGAACCATTTTCTGGTGGGCCCTCAGGAGCCCACCAAACATGATGAAGGTACTGCTAAGACTTAGGATTATGTACGAAGCCTCCGAGATCCGCCCTCACTTCCCGGGAGCCAGGATGAGAATGTGGCTCTCTTTACGAGGCAAGGAGAAGTTGGGGGGGGGGGGGTAATGGGCAAACATATGAACTTCTCCCAAACATAAAATAACTGACGTTGCAGTTAAGAATGAGGAGGGTCTTGTAGTACAGATGGATTCATTCTCGACTCAGAATTGGGGATCCCGGGTTCCCTTACCCAGGCTGGAAAGAAATGGTTGGGCATGTTTCCTTTCACCTGGTGCCTCTGTTCACCTAATCTACCAAGGCATCAGCTCTTGTGTGGTTGCATGCTGGGAAGGGTCAGTAATTCAACACTGGGGGACCTCGGTACAAGTGTAGAGTATATATACATATCCCTTACTGTACACACAGGCTTCCTGTCCCAGACGAAAATGAATTAAAAGTGAGCGTGAGAAAGATGATCTCGAAGGTGAGATTTCTAAATGATGGACAGACCCTAAACCTCTCTGACGCAAGAAGTTTATTGCAATGTCTGGAGGCTTATGAGAACAAATATTTATAAATGCCTTACTTAGCCAAATAAAGGAAGGGAAATAAAAGTCCTGAACAACAGGCTAAATTCTAACTGAGATGGACTCCAAAAAAAGAGCTAAACAATCCAAAACTTTGGGAGCTACTGGAGAATACCTCCCAAAAGATGACATCTGCGACAAGGAGGAAACAAGTAATGAACAGGGCGAGCCTAACAGTCCGGTAAGAAACCGGAACAAAGTTACACAGTATTAACTAATTACCTAAGTGTAGTTACAAGGCGAGAGCAATGCTCAAGGAGTCGTCGTCCCAGTACTCATGGTCATGTGACGTGTTGAAATTATTAATGGTTCTGGTGATGCTGTCAAGTCCCCCCATCATCCATCCAGCTCCCCCCCACTATCCATCCATCCATCCATCTGTCTGTCTAGCCCAGTGAAGAACCTTTCCTATCCACATTAGCCAAAGGCCACCCCTCCACCTTCAGAAAAATCTTAAGACACAGCTGATACATCAATAATTCTTCACTAACCTTCTCAAAAAATCTTGGATTAATGTGGAGTGCAATATTAGCATCGACCCCTCTTGATGTCTGGAGATTAATGTGGAACCTTGGAGAGCGGGGGACAAACGTCATTACACATCAGTAATAGAAAAACAAATATTAAAACATTTAGTAAGACAGATCAACAATTTTTGAAAACATGTTCAGTTAGTCGAGTAACTAAATTTCCATTTGAATAATTTAAAAAACGGAATTTTTCACCCTACGCACCATTATTCTGCAGCCTGCACCCTACACCACCATTCTGCACCCTACACCACCATTCTGCATCCTACACCCTACACCACCATTCTGCAGCCTGCACCCTACACCACCATTCTGCAGCCTGCACCCTACACCACCATTCTGCAGCCTGCACCCTACACCACCATTCTGCAGCCTGCACCCTACACCACCATTCTGCAGCCTGCACCCTACACCACCATTCTGCAGCCTGCACCCTACACCACCATTCTGCAGCCTGCACCCTACACCACCATTCTGCACCCTACACCACCATTCTGCAGCCTGCACCCTACACCACCATTCTGCAGCCTGCACCCTACACCACCATTTTGCAGCCTGCATCCTACACCATTTTTCAGCCTGCATCCTCCACCACTATTCTTCAGCCTGCATCCTACACTGCTATTCTTCAGCCTGCATCCTACACTGCTATTCTTCAGCCTGAATCCTACACTGCTATTCTTCAGCCTGCATCCTACACCACTTTTCTTCAGCCTGTATCCTACACCACTATTCTTCAGCCTGCATCCTCCACCACTATTCTTCAGCCTGCATCCTACACCACCATTCTTCAGCCTGCATCCTCCACCACTATTCTTCAGCCTGCATCCTACACTGCTATTCTTCAGCCTGCATCCTACACTGCTATTCTTCAGCCTGAATCCTACACTGCTATTCTTCAGCCTGCATTCTACACCGCTATTCTTCAGCCTGCATCCTACACCACTTTTCTTCAGCCTGTATCCTACACCACTATTCTTCAGCCTGCATCCTCCACCACTATTCTTCAGCCTGCATCCTACACTGCTATTCTTCAGCCTGCATTCTACACTGCTATTCTTCAGCCTGCATCCTACACTGCTATTCTTCAGCCTGCATCCTACACCACTATTCTTCAGCCTGCATCCTACACCACTTTTCTTCAGCCTGTATCCTACACCACTATTCTTCAGCCTGCATCCTACACTGCTATTCTTCAGCCTGCATCCTACATCACCATTCTTCAACCTGCATCTTACACCACTATTCTTCAGCCTGCATCCTACACTACCATTCTGCAGCCTGCATCCTACACTACTATTCTTCAGCCTGCATCCTACACTACCATTGTTCAGCCTGCATCCTACACCACTATTCTTCAGCCTGCATCCTACACCGCTATTCTTCAGCCTGCATCCTACACTGCTATTATTCAGCCTGCATCCTACACTGCTATTCTTCAGCCTGCATCCTACACTGCTATTCTTCAGCCTGCATCCTACACCGCTATTCTTCAGCCTGCATCCTACACCGCTATTCTTCAGCCTGCATCCTACACTGCTATTCTTCAGCCTGCATCCTACACTGCTATTCTTCAGCCTGCATCCTACACTGCTATTCTTCAGCCTGCATCCTACACTGCTATTCTTCAGCCTGCATCCTACACCACTAATCTTCAGCCTGCATCCTACACCACTATTCTTCAGCCAGAATCCTACACTGCTATTCTTCAGCCTGCATCCTACACCACTATTCTTCAGCCTGCAAACTGCACCACTATTCTTCAGCCTGCATCCTACACTGCTATTCTTCAGCCTGCATCCTACACCACTAATCTTCAGCCTGCAAACTGCACCACTATTCTGCAGCCTGCATCCTACACTACCATTCTGCACCCTACATCACCATTCTTCAACCTGCATCTTACACCACTATTCTTCAGCCTGCATCCTACACTACCATTCTTCAGCCTGCATCCTACACCACTATTCTGCAGCCTGCATCCTACACCGTTATTCTTCAGCCTGCATTCTACACCACTATTCTTCAGCCTGCATTCTACACCACTATTCTGCAGCCTGCATCCTACACCGTTATTCTTCAGCCTGCATTCTACACCACTATTCTTCAGCCTGCATTCTACACCACTATTCTTCAGCCTGCATTCTACACCACTATTCTTCAGCCTGCATCCTACACTACCATTCTTCAGCCTGCATCCTACACCACTATTCTGCAGCCTGCATCCTAACACCATAATTCTTCAGCCTGCATCCTACACCACCATTCTACAATAGTTCAATTCTCAAAATTCCTAAGTCCTGTACTATGTAACCATGCTGTTACCCCTTACTATATTTCTTTTACTTGCCCAAAGCGCTGTGCATGTTAGTGCCTTTATATCTTATACATGTTCTGTACCTGTTGATTAACAACCAATAACATGTTCCTATGTCCATTTATAATTATAACTTTTTTTTTATTATAATCATATAGCACAAACAGGCTCATTTTTTTACACATTTTCTCGGACATTTACTACTGGATTCAATATAAACAAAGCATATAGATGATGATTACAAATGGCTACAAATAAGAAACAAGGGGCAGAAGATCCTACTGGTCAGCACTGCTGTGAATCTTGCCCGAGACAGAGATGAAACAACCAGGTCGGAATCCTCGATTCAAGAGAAAGGTTATTGGTGTAGCTCCTGTCCCTACAGGCAACTGCTGGTGCGCTGCCACCGACTCTGCACGCAACTGTAAGTAAAAAAACCAGAGTTGAATGTAATGAAACACCATCTTCTGGGCGAGTCCCGGAGGCTCCCCCAAGCTTACCAGGCTGGTATGTATGTATGTATTAGACTGTGGCATCAGTCAATTTGAATGGAGTTCTTGCCTACCAGGGACCACAAGCCAGAACCTGGCCCCATCAGAGAGGCACGATAAACAATGGCTTATAGAAACCCCCATGTGGTTGGAAACATTCCATGTCTGCCATTGACTGGGTTAGGCACCCAGAAGGGTAGGTGTCCCAAAACAAACACAACCTTGTTCAAAATTGCTACCGAAAGCCCAACTATCAAGCAGAGCTCCCCAATCTGAAAACAAGCATGACGTCACAACTGTCGCCGTACAGCTGTCTGCCCAGCTCCAACCTCCATGGGAGGGGGGAAGGGGGAGCCCTAGACCCCCCATGCTGGCCATCCGACCCCAGTTCAGAGGCTGAATATAAAAAAAAAACAGCGTTGAATGTAATGAAACGTGTTACGGTGCCCTCTTCTATTTGCCTGCTTTAAGAGTCATATCAGCTTTCTCTACTGATTCTCTGAGATACAGAGAGTCTGTTGGTATATTGGGGACTGACTAAAGAGCCTAAATCTGTACTCCCTTGAGCGCAGGCGGGAGAGATACATAATAATTTACACGTGAAAAATATTAGAGGGGCTGGTCCCAAACCTGCACACAGAAATAACATCACATGAGACCAGAAAACATGGCAAGATGTGCAGAATACCCCCGTCGAAAAGCAGAGGTGCAACAGGTACTCAGAGAGAACTCTATCAACATCAGAGGCCCGAGACTGTTCAACATGCTTCCACTACACATAAGGGGCATAACTGGCCTACCCCTCACAGTGTTCAAGAGAGAACTGGATAAGCACCTCCAAAGGATACCTGATCAACCAGGCTGTGACTCATACGTCAGGCTGCGAGCAGCCGCGTCCAACAGCCTGGTTGATCAGTCCATCAACCAGGAGGCCTGGTCGACGACCGGGCTGCGGGGACGCTAAGCCCCGGAAGCACCTCAAGGTAGGTATATGCGGCGACCAGATCGTCGCCAGATAAGGGAGAAATTTACATTATAAGTTTGTAGGTAAGGGGAAAGTGACGCCCTGATACAAATGTAATGGTACCCCCCTACCTGCAGATCCGCTATTTTGTGGAGGACGCTAGCCGAGTGCGGATTGGGTGACTTAGGTCACGGGCGACCAATTAGAGCCCGCCGTGACGTCACAGAGTGCCCCTGGCGGCGCCAGTGGTGGTAGCGTCAGAGCTGGTCTGACTGCGAGAGGGAGAGGACATTTCTCGGTCAGCTCTCAAGGATTTGAGGCTCTACAAGCCTTACTCAGTGGATTAAACTAGCCATCGCAGCCCACCATTGTTTTTGAAGACCCTGTGCTTCCGGGAAGCAAGAAGAAACCAAGTTCATTGAGCAGAGAAGTGCCAAAACTTGAAGAGTCGGTCGGCGACGATGCTAGAGGGGCGCCGCCTGACGCTGGAGGGGTCTGGAAGGTGTGGCGGGCAGGCCTAGCTGTGACCGGGTCACGTTCACTGAGGATTTTGGAGGGATGACACCATTCCTAGGGCAAGGAGCAACGCCTTGGTATGGATGAGTGTGTGCATACAGTGATTAGCTCAGTACCCACTGGTGAACCAGGATTGGGATATCTGAAACATTGGGAGTGGTTTGGCGATGACACGAAGGCTTCACGACACCTGAGGACTTGTGGAACATTCCTGGATCGTGAAGGACCGACTCAGGAAGCGTGAGAACCTCACACCATCGAGGGACAGGCGTCGTGAGCCAGGAATGTAAAGGTAGATCAATTTCCTTCCCATTACCCCTTGTTTGAGTAGGCTAGATAGGCCACGATATTTACCTATGTATGTTGCAGTATAACACTGATACATTAGTAGTAGGATAGGCTGCAGGGCGGCTTGTGTTCAGGACTGTTGAAGAGGACAGTGTGTTTGGACGACGGAGCAGTTGAAGAGGTGGTAGCCGACGTCGACGAAGAGGCCCTTATGTGTGAGAGAGTGGCTTCCTTTTTAATCTGCCCAGTTGGAGGAGTTGTTGGAGGTCGTGAAAGAAGAGTTGCTGACGATCTCCAGTTTTATTATTCTCATTTTTCCATTCCTGTATTGTTTGTAAATGTATATGTGATCTTGTAGTTTATGTCAGTAAATTCACACATTTTATCATTGTGTTTAAGTGTGCCTCCATAATAATGTCTATGAGCATACACGAGGGTTATCATAGTACCACCTAGTGAACACCACGTTTTCTACAAAAGGTCTTAGTGGCTGGAGAGTAGTAAAGCAGCACAGACTTATGTACAAGTGTACCCTAGGCTACCTGTCCAGTATCAGAGCCGGAATGGTGGCAACACTTTGGCAACAAGCAATGTAGTGGCTGGGGAGAGGTAAAGCCACACAGACTTTTATGGAAGTGTACCTTGGGCTGACACACCAGTGTCAACTCTATAGGAGTAGCAACACTTTGGCAACAAGCAGTATAGAATACACCCACTGAACTGCATTGCTGAGGTGCAGATATACCAACCCAGTTGGCGACCTTGTTAAAAGAAGGTAGGGAAGGCAGGTGGGAAAGGAATTCCTGCAAACTTTTTGTCTGGCAGGCAAGACTCAGGGGAAGTTATTGATAAAAGGTAAGCCTGGGTCTTCCTTCACTTCTCCACGGGTCTAGGCCGGAATTGCCAACAGCAGTTTCCCCGTGGTTGACTGAAGGGCTCCCAGGGTGAATCAGTGGCACCCCCTACATTGGTGGGAGCAAAAACCTGCGGTGGTGGGTATTACTGGTCCCCTCCTGTGGGACCAAGCGATTCCGGTGAATCCCAAGAGTGAGAGGGGCTGAGTATTCTGCCTTCTGAGCCCCTAGCAGCCAATTGCTAGCAGAGCCCCAGCCCACTCCCCCGTGACAAACGCCATTTTCTGGGCGAGTCCCGGAGGCTCCCCGGAGCTATCCAGGCTGAATGGATATGTATAACTTTCTGGCATCAGTCAATGCATGGAGTTCTTGCCTACCAGGGATCATGAGCCAGATCCTGGCCCCCCTCTAGAGAGGCATGAGGAGCAATGGCCTATAGAGACCTCCCTTATGATAGGGAGCATTCTATGTCTGCCATCGACCGGGATAGGCACTTGTTTTTTAGTCCTTGTATGTTGGCAAAGATGAATGAGATTACTCTATTAGGAATAGTTTGACTGGGAGACTTTTTTGGCAAGCCCATTATGCATGTACATATTGAGTTTGTTCTGACCAGTGCTGATTGTTGTAGGGCAGTTGCCTGTCGTAGTTGTAATTCCTTGTTGGTGTGTAATTGTATCTGTAATTCTGGTAAGCAAGTTGGTCTGGCATCCCTATATGGTCTACAGGGCCTTTGATGACCCTGTAGATATGTATGCAGATGATGGTCCTATAGATATAAGAGTAAAATCTGAAGCTACAGACACAGACGTTAGATGTGTAAAGTACACAACTGTTGGAGAAATATTTAGGCTATGTGTAATTTAGGCTATGTAACATTGGTTAGGTATAGTATCACACAGGATATATATATTTATATATAGTATTAAGGACAGGAGACACACGAGATACTACAGCACTTAGGATCTAAACAAAATTTGAGACGTATTAACACTCGCCTCTTCTTCAGTAGTAGAGCAGTCATGTAGAAAGACATCTCCCTGCGAGGTCACAGCCCACACCATGTAAAACGACGGAGAGCCAGTCAAGCCCCGAAACTGATTACAAGCTGCAAATCGGCATCATAATCAAAACGAGGATATAATGAACTGCTGACATGCTAGTAAACCAGCAAGCTCCAGCAATCTCAAAGTAATTACAGTTAAACCTAACAATAAAGCAGTTATATACATGTATACATATATTTGATCTGAAGTGTGCATAAATATATATATATATAATAGCTATATGGTTTGATCCACCTACCTGTTGAGATATGATTGAGCCAGTCCTCGGCATCTGTCTCGGTGGAGAAGCAGAGCGTCTTTGGCCTCAGGGGTTCATCAGGATGGTACATTGCCACAAGAGACCGACCCACAGCAGACTCCACGCACATGACACTTGTCAGAATCGTACTGCATGAAATTTCTTCCTGTAATGTGAAATCAATTTCTTGTGACTATGTTATGTTCTGGTTGTCAGTGTCTATCTTACGTACCCACCTACCCACCCACCCACTACCAACCCTCCACCTACCTGCACAGCAACCCTTCACCCACCTGCACAGTACCGATCTACCCACCCCTTACCAAGTATTGTATTATTTATATTTACCTAAGTTTACCTGAGGGCCACTAATACTAGTAGTCTTGATGAGGACAGGAACCTGGCATCTTGTCAAAGGTTCTCCCCATTTTCCCTCATGATCTTTTCCAGCTGTATTTTAAAACCCAGCAGTTTTGGCATTTACAGCTTTGGTGGGTAGGCAATTCCACAGGTTTACAACCCTATGGGATGAAAAAGCATCTCCAGTTTCCTGTCCTACATTATGGTTTGTTGAGCTTAACCCTGTTGCTCCTCGTTCGTGTTACATCTGACCTTTTGAAGAAATTGACCAGATCGACATCCTCCAAATGGTTCAGTATTTTAAAGGTTTCAATGAGATCCACCCTGTCATGCCTGGTTTGTAGTCTTGTTAGCCCAGTGGCCTTCAACCATTTCGGATTCATGAGATCAAGCTCAAGTACGTTTATTTGAGAGAATAAAAACATCTCAAAGGGATAGAGTAGCTCTGGTATGCTTTTTTTGTTGCCCGGTGTTGCACCTTCTCCAGAGCAGTTATGGCTTTCTGAAGATGAGGTCTCCCTGCCTGGATGCAATAATCCAGGTGGGGGCGCACCAGAGACTTATACAATTGAACGACTACTTTCCTTTCCTTGAAGGTAAAGGTACGCTTGATTATTGTCAGGGTTTGGTTCACTTTTCTTACTTCCGCTCCCACGTGTTGTGCAACTTTTAGTGAATGATGGATTCTGACTCCAAGGTCCTTTTCTTCATCTATCTGTTGTAAGGTAATACTGTCAATTTGGTAGTTGTGACTAGGATTGTGTTATGCCCCACATGCAAGGTCTTGCATTTATCAAAATTAAAAAGCATTTGCCAGTCATCTGACCATTTGAGAGGTTCATGTAGATCTCTTTGTAAGATCTCAATATCACTTTCACTTCCCACTTTACCACAGATTTTAGTGTCATCTGCAAATTTGATAATGTGGTTTGTAATATTTTCATCTATGCCATTGATGTATATGACAAAGAGGGGGTTGGTCCCAAAATGGACCCCCTATGGCACCCTCCCCTTAGCACATTTTCCCAGTCAGATTCTTTCCCATTTAGCACAACCCTTTGTTTCCTATGTTTTAACCATTGTTTTATCCATTCCAGTATTTTCCTATTTATTCCATGTGCCTGTAATTTCCTTGCCAGTCTCTCATATGATACAGTGTCAAAAGCTTTAGCAAAGTCCATGTGAGCTACATCTACCGGAAGTCGATGTACAGGAGTTGATACATTTTTTTTACATAAAGCAGTACACCTCCTGCTCTTGTTGCTGTCCTTTCTGAACAGTGGATGATACCCTGGGGGGAGGAGGAATTCCCCTTCAATAGTGTCCTGTCATCCCCATGTTTCACTTATGCCAATGATGTCTGGAGTCTCGGCCTCAGCATGTGCACACAATGCATCAAATTTATTCACCAAGCTTCTGGCACTAGTGTAGAAGCACTTTAAATTTCTTTCGCTGTTCGGCCGAGCGGACAGCATGCTGGACTTGTGATCCTGTGGTCCCGGGGTTGATTCCAGGCGCTGGCGAGAAACAATGGGCAGAGTTTCTTTCACCCTATGCCCCTGTTGCCTAGCAGTAAAATAGGTACCTGGGTATTAGTCAGCTGTCACGGGCTGCTTCCTGGGGGTGGAGGCCTGGTCAAGGACCGGGCCGCGGGGACACTAATAAAAGCCCCGAAATCATCTCAAGATAACCTCAAGATCCTATTGGGCTGTGAGATACCACCTAGATTCTGAACATTCTGATTCTAGATTCTGTTTGTTGTCACTCCAGCTTTGTGCCTGTCCGTCTTCCCAGATATACAGGGTTAGTTCTGCCTGGCTGGGTGGAGGACTGCGTTCTCTCCTCCATCTACTATTTTGATCACCCGTCTTCTCCTGATTACTAGCTTTGAATCTGTTTGCTTCTAGGTTCGTTAATTCCTTAAACTTTCCTCTTAGCACACTTTTTTTGTGCTATTCAACTGTGTGGTCTGGGGGAGATATAGACTTCGTTATACCCTTCAAGATTTTTTAGGTTATGCACATTGGTTAGTATCTTCCTTCTGTGTTCAAAGTTTACAAGGGTTATGTGTACATATACTGTACTGTGGGCATTCATCTAGCACTGTTTAGAAAATACATAGTTGCCCCTTTGTTTATTGAGTGGTTATATTAATAATAATAATAATTTTTATTTAGGTAAGGTACATACATAAAGAGAGATTTTACAAAGTTTGTTGGGTTAATAGATAGAGCTAGTACATACAATGCCTAAAGCCACTATTATGCAAAGCGTTTCGGGCAGAGAATATCTGAATACAGTTTATGTATTTCATTTACAAAAAAACTATATATAAATTTAATTTTAATGACAGTACAGTATTTAATTTATTACCCCAACAGCACCATATTTCACATAACTATAATGCAAGTAAGACATGCACTCTATTCCTTATATATTGTAAATAACTTGCATCTATATTTATGTATTTGATATACTGTATACAGTATTTATGAAAGTGCTACTGCAGGAAACATTTGGTTATTTGCTAAACATCAGTACAGAATATAATTACTGTATTGTAAGAGAATGGTAATCCGAATTCTTGTGACTCGGATGAATTTGCGTTCGGTGTTTTAGAGTAAATGGCGGCAGTCATTAAGGAAATCATTAAAATGCACAGGTAAACAGTGGGAGTATCTGAATCTTGGTACAAAAATATTTAGAATTTGTTCATTTTAAACATTCCTGGCAAGAAATTCGTCCAAGTTGAATGTTCGGTTAACTCGCTCATATGAGGGTGAGTCTCGTCATTCGGATTGCTGAACTCAGACAAAACAGTACAAATAATGAACTCTGCCTCTATAATCCCACATTTAGTAACCAATTTAATCAAAACTGAATTACTGTACTAATATCCCCCAAAACCTCTGGTAAATAATAGGTACCCACCACATGTGGAGATCCAAGAGAGTAGCGTACAATGAGCGTGGCATCCTGCACTTGTGACCTGCGAGAGCCGACCATGACGAGCTCTAATGATGCTGGCACCCACTGTCCCCCTGCCCACCAGCGGCACTGGCCAGATATTACCCATGATGAGCCTTCAACTGCTTCCTCATAACTAGAGAAACACACAAGCAATGTAATAAACTTTATAAGGTCACATTGCAAGTATCGTCACATTTACGATACTTGCAAGCACATAGGAGGAGAAGGAAAATGTTCACATCTAATAGTATAAATGGAAGAGGACACTTACAAGCTCACTGGAGGAGGAAGATGTTCACAGCTAACAGTACAGATGGTAGAGAATATAGTACTTACAAGCACATAAGAGGAGGAAAATTTTCACTCCTAACTGTACCGATGAAAGAGGATACTTATAAGCACACAAGACGAGGAAAACGTTCACACCTAAGAGTACAGATGAAAGAGAATACAGTACTTGCAAGCACGTAAGAGGAGGAAAATGTTCACACCTAACAGAATAGATGGAAGAGGATACTTACAAGCATATAGGAGCAGGAGAATGTTCACAACTAACAGTACAGATGGAAGAATATAGTACTTACAAGCACACAGGAGGAGGAAAATGTTCACAACTAACAGTACAGATGGAAGAATATAGTACTTACAAGCACACAGGAGGAGGAAAATGTTCACAACTAACAGTACAGATGGAAGAATATAGTACTTACAAACACACAGGAGGAGGAGAATGTTCACAACTAACAGTACAGATGGAAGAATATAGTACTTACAAGCACACAGGAGGAGGAAAATGTTCACAACTAACAGTACAGATGGAAGAGGATACTTGCAAGCAAATTGGAGGAGAATGTTCATAACTAACTGTACAGATGAAGAGGAAATTTAAAAGTATATGGGTGTAAGAGGATATTTTCAAGAATTGTACACGGGAGGAGGAGGAGGAGGACATTTAAAGAACACACAATAAAGTATTCACAATAATACATATTAAGGAGGACATTCTTAAGCACACAGATGGAAGAGGATATTTATTAGCATGCAGATGGAAGGAATGTAAGTCTAGAATGGATGATGGTAATTGCAAATATTGAGCCAGAGAAAGATATTTACAGGTATAGATAAGGAAGCAAATATTTACAAGTATCGAAGTGGAGGAAGCTATTACAAGTGGAGGAAGCTATTACAAGTGGAGGAAGCTATTACAAGTGGAGGAAGCTATTACAAGTATCGAAGTGGAGGAAGCTATTACAAGTATCGAAGTGGAGGAAGCTATTACAAGTATCGAAGTGGAGGAAGCTATTACAAGTATCGAAGTGGAGGAAGCTATTACAAGTATCGAAGTGGAGGAAGCTATTACAAGTATCGAAGTGGAGGAAGCTATTACAAGTATCGAAGTGGAGGAAGCTATTACAAGTATCAAAGTGGAGGAAGCTATTACAAGTATCGAAGTGGAGGAAGCTATTACAAGTATCAAAGTGGAGGAAGCTATTACAAGTGGAGGAAGCTATTACAAGTATCGAAGTGGAGGAAGCTATTACAAGTGGAGGAAGCTATTACAAGTATCGAAGTGGAGGAAGCTATTACAAGTATCGAAGTGGAGGAAGCTATTACAAGTATCGAAGTGGAGGAAGCTATTACAAGTATCGAAGTGGAGGAAGCTATTACAAGTATCAAAGTGGAGGAAGCTATTACAAGTATCGAAGTGAAGGAAGCTATTACAAGTATCGAAGTGAAGGAAGCTATTACAAGTATCGAAGTGGAGGAAGCTATTACAAGTATCGAAGTGGAGGAAGCTATTACAAGTATCGAAGTGGAGGAAGCTATTTCAAGTATCAAAGTGGAGGAAGCTATTTCAAGTATCAAAGTGGAGGAAGCTATTACAAGTATCAAAGTGGAGGAAGCTATTACAAGTATCAAAGTGGAGGAAGCTATTTACAAGTACAGAAGAGAGGTGGAGGAGGTTACAAGTACAGAACAGAGGTGGAGGAGGTTACAAGTACAAAACAGAGGTGAAGGAGGATATTTACAATCTCAAAAGCAGTAGTCTTCACTAAACTAATACAATAATTACACATAGCACAGCCATGTCAAGTGCATTGTTTTCTTCTATGGCTCACATACCCAGTAAAAGGCTTGATCTCGGTGTTATACCGACTGCGTAAACTCTGCAACACATTAACTCTCCAGGGCTCTGTAGACAGCACTGGGGACCCTTCACTCATGAACCTTTAGACAAGAGTTACAAATGACATTGTATTATTCATAGAGACAATAAATATACGCTACGTACATATGTTGCAGGAAAACATCCATCATTGAACAGAATGAAATGCCTTGTTCTGGTGGGCTGCCTCAGTGGTTCCCCTGAGTCAGCTGCCTGTTGCGCTCCAAACCTAGCATGCCCCACCAAGTCCTTGTAAACTTGGAGGTAACCTGGGGCCAGATTCACGAAAGCACTTACGCAAGCACTTACGAACGTGTACAACTTTCCTCAATCTTTGACGGCTTTGGTTACATTTATTAAACAGTTTACAAGCATGAAAACTTCCCAATCAACTGTTGTTATTGTTATAAACAGCCTCCAGGTGCTTCGGTGCTCATTAACTGTTTAATAATTGTAAACAATGCCGCCAAAGATTGAGAAAAGATGTACAGGTTCGTAATTGTTTGCGTAAGTGCTTTCGTGAATCTGGCCCCAGGCAGCTAGCTCAGGGAGCTACTGAGTGAAGCCTTCCAATTTGCAAAATATACCTTGTTTACGTACATACCAAAGATTTGTGTGTCTCAGGTACTATACAAGTCAATACAGCTATATAAGCATACATTGTCTAAACATGTCTCTTACTCAAGTATTGAAATACCTGTACTGTCTAAGCTCACTTATCTGAATTATATGCGAGTGCATATAATTAACGAATTCATCCGTGTCACGACAATGAATTCAGTTAAGTTCCTCAAAGGGTTGTAAACCCTGGAACCGCCAACCCGCCGAAGCCGTAAATGCTAAAACTCTGCTGGGGTTTAAAATACAACTGGAAAGGGTCATCTAGTCAAATGGGGGGGACCGTTGACAAGCTGCTGGCTTCCTGTCCTTATCGAGGCCACTAGTATTAGTGGCCCTCAGGTAAATGCCGGTAAATATGGAAAGGTCCTCCCACCAGATAAGCCAGACATAAGCATAAGCAGAATTTTTACCGAAGAAGTCCAAAGGTGAAAATATTCAATTTTGTTGTACTACAACCAACAATTTGAATTTCCACACACACTGTAATTTAAAAATATACCAGTACAGTACTGTAATTTAAATCAGAAGCTTCAGCTTACCTTATAGTTCGTCTTCTTGATTGGTGCTGCATACGGTACTGTACAGTATCTTCAAATCAATAATCAATAATTCTTGAAAATTTACATAACCTAACTTAACACAACAGTAAAATTACAGTACAGTGCTTAAGCTTGGCAAGGTCAACTTCGACTGCCAGCTGCTGAAGCATAACTGGCTGAAGGCTTTCTTGGCTTTCTGGCGAGGTTTCATTGGTTGAAGGTTCTTGTCTTGTGGGTTGCATGGGTTGAACGGCCTTGGCTTGTCGTTATTACCAAATAAGAATTGAGTTTTGCTTGCCTCCTGTATTCATCTCTCTTTGGGTCGCCTCAAGTATGGCACTGATACACGAGTAAACTGTATTTGATTGTCTGTGGTGTTGTTAGCACAACCTTCCTCCTCTTAATAACCCCAGGACCATTCCTGCTGCTGTCAGGCAGAGTCTTGACAAAAAATGATCAAAGTTATTATGAAAATTAAAAGGATACTTAAAAATGTATCACTAATGGCGCAGCATTGTGGTATAATGTGAGAGTTGAGAGCACGTGACCTGGATGGATCCACATGGGGCAGGCAAGCAGGCATGTTACATAGGCTGCCAGGTGGAAAAATAACCCTAAATTTTTAGCAGGAAAGTATAGTCTGTATAAATGGTTTTTAAGAAATTTGGATTTGTTACAATTTGATATCCTTATTTTTTACTGTTATGAATTGCTTTAACATATTTCTTGGTTATTCTATACATTAAAGATCATAGGCCCCCCCATCCTTAGATAGTCCCCCCCCCCCCTACCCTGAAGTCAGCCACCCCCAAACACCTCCCATTACCCCATGCCTCAAGTGACTGCTGTACGGGATTATTACAGTATGGCCCGATGCCTGTGTGGTATCCCAGCAAGATCTCCGGTTATCAGAATAGCAATTCAGATATGGTGATGTTTTGCAAGAAAAATATTTGGCACCAATTTTCACCAGATAACTCAAATGTTTGGATCAGTGGGCTTCGGATAAGCGAGCTCATACAGTACAGTACTAATAATAGTTGGAAAGGATAAATTTAAAATGTTGATTGTGTGATAGAGGATGGATGTTGTTGAGAATGGATTATAATAAAAGTGTCAGATTAAAGAGTACAAGACAAAAGAAAGAAGAGGCAGTGAGAATGTACATGCTGTTAGCCAGACAAGCATGCCTATTAACCCTTAAGTCGCTAAGGCCTTTTTGGCCTGCAACACTGCCAGGCACACACACAAAAAAAAATCTTATAAACGTGTTCATTTGTGTTCCCTGAGCACTGGGGGATGTAATTCGTACTTACCAATGACATAAATGAGCCGAGAAGTTGGCCGATTACGTTGATCTTCATTGCTCGAGTGTGGTGCGTCCTGGGAGAGTAAGGCGTGGCTTTGAAGCAGCCCGAGTTGGCGCAAATTTATTTTCGCTGCATTATTTGCAGTATTTAGTGCGTATTTTACAAAAAAAAATTTTCACTGAGGTTGTATAATAAATGGTCACTTGATGTTTTATTGTATGGTCATGCGGCAATGTGATGACATCACCACATTTCCACGCTGCTGTCTGTGCAACCCCCCACTCCCTGGGAGAGAGGAAGGGGGAGCCCCAGACCCTCGCCGGCAATCCAACCAGCAGTTCTTAGGTTGGATGTCAAAAACACGCAAAAACACAGCCGACCGGAGGGAGGGAGAGATGCTCGCTCCCTCCCTCCCTCCGGGTCCCATCCAGAAAATGGCGTTTTATTACATTCAACGCTGGTTTTCTGGGGAGAGCCCCGTTGGCTCCCTGGAGCTAACTACCCAGAGACAAGGAAAAACACAAGGACTTACCCGGGAGGCAGTCGGTCCTCACTCTCCTCAACACGAAGCCAAGACAACTAGCTGCAACTGCCGGCCCAATGCAACGCAGGCCCTACCAGGTCCAGGGACATTGACAAGGTAGCGACCAGCCAAGACCCTGTTCGACCTCCAAAAACCCCGTGCCCGAATGTAAACCCAAGACATGTTGCCAAAGCCAAAGCAGCAAACTTGCGAACGTCGCAGGCACAAAGAATAGACTGCAGGCAGGCTCGACTCAATAACCCTGCAGACGACCTGAAAAACCCAAGTCCAGGAACAGGGAAGGAGGGAAACTGGGTCAACCCAAAGAGCATCCCCGACCACCTTAGCCATGGAGTGCAAATAACAGCAGAGAGCCGCAACCAGATACATGATGCACCCCCAGCCTGACCAACCAAGCATCAACAACCCAAGGACCCCTCCGGAAAGCAACAGTCTCATTCTTTGGCAGAAAAGAAGTAGACGGCTGCAACTAAACAAACTTACCACCAGGACCGAAGGAACAGAAATCCCTGCGCCAGAGGAGAGCATGAAGCTCCCCGACCTGACCTCCAGAGGCCAATGCCAACAATAAAAAGAGCCTTGGAGAAACAATCCTGAACCAAAGGGGCCACCACAAACTGTGAGGTCGCCCCTTACGAGAACCTGTTTGATGTGCAGAGCGATCACCGTGCTCCAAAACTGGCATTACTAGCCCACCACGACAAATAGAAACCCGAACCCTGGCACGACCCCACAGGGAACGGCTTCTACGGCCACCCCGGAGAACTAACAAGTCCAACATACGGCAACAGCTAGAAGCAGCTGCTTGCAGATACTGCACAACTGCAGAATCAGCAAACAGCAACAAACAAGAAGGTGATGAAAACCTAAGAGCCAGGGTCCATGCAGATACCATAGAGTGAGCAAGCACAGACTGCCTGCACACGAGGCGTGAAGCAAAGAACAGAGACACCGCCTCCTTCAGAATCAGCACAAAACAATTTCAACAAGGCAGTTGATGCTCGAGATGTCGAGGCAACTGGTACCAGTGAATTGGTACCAGACACAAGGCCGGTATCCAGTGCCTCCACATCCTCCTCAAGCCAGTCCGAAGACAGCTCAAGCAGGGAAAAGAAATGCAAAATCGAAGCCAAATGCCCCGGGCACGCAAATCCTCAGCCACCAGGGACACCGAAAGGATAGTAACCTGTACATGAAGCTGCACATGGCTAATAGCCTTAGGAAGAACGGGGGCGAATAAATACACATCGAGGTGCTCCAACTTGCCCCCCCAGTTAACCTGAATTGCCGTAGATGTTTCCCTTCACCATTCAAGCATGCGGGTCCAACAGAACAAGTGCCACGTCCCCATAGAAAAGAATGGATAGTCTGCAAACCAGAACGACTCCGGCACTTCGTAATGCACCCAATAAGGAAAAGTAGAACCGAACTCAAACGAGAAAAGGTCCAATATTGAGGCAAAATCTGGGTCACGCAGGACATAAGCCGCAATGGCCTCCCGAACCTCCTTAGGCAGGCTGCGGGAAGCCGAAAACCTCTAGAAAGAAGGGACCGAAGAACTCAAGGGAACCCGGAACAGAACCTGGGGAGGAGCAGAACTCATATCAAATTCGTACTGGGAGGGGGGGTAAGAAAACCCCTCCCCTTGCAACAACGAGCCCCGCACCGAGGGTACCAACACCCAAGCGGGGTCAAACAGGGCCTAAGCCCCCTACAAGTCAGCTCCTCCCAGCCCTGGGACCCTCCACATCAGGCCCCGGGGCACAGTCGTCCCCCAAACCCTCCGCCCCTAAAGAAAAGGCAGAGTCAATCAAAAAAGCTGGGAAAGGGCGGGGAGGGGGGGGGGGTTTGCTGGTCAGATCTCGAAGCCCCAGCTGGGCTTCGCCAGTCTGCCAGTTTCGAAGACTGGCAGATCAAAAAACTGCCAGTCTCTCACCACCATCTAAACCCCGCCCTGACTCCGAAACCCTCAGACATTTGGGTTTGAGGGTTTCAAACCCAAATGTTTGGGTTTGAAACCCTCCGAGGAGGGTTTCAAAACCCAAACATTTGGGGGGGAGGGGGAGGAGGACAAACAACAGCAGAGGAAGGATGAGAGAGCGAGGATGAAACCAAAGTCGAAGCGATTAACGCCCCGAAGTTTGGGTCCCTATAACCAAAGCAAGGCAGCCTCAGGGCAACGAGAAAGCAACCAACCTAGCACATTGCAGCAACCGAAACCTTGCATGTAACGTCAAAGCTGCCTGCACCCAATTAACAGTATCAGTGGACTGGGTGCATTGGAGTACCAGCAGAGAACACCACTCGCAGGATTCTGGGTCAAAGGTGTCATCAACCCAACAGGCAGCACGACGGTGAATGTCACCCTGAGACAAGAGGACAGAGCAACCTTCAAGCTCACAATGGAGATCGGACCCAGAGGTTGCATCCATTGGACCAATGAGCTCCAGTGGGGTTTTCCAGGGCCCTTAGGCTAACTGCTAAGGGAAGTCCAGGCATGGTACCGCTAACCAGGTGACCCAAACTACCGCGAGATCATGTAAACCTGAACCCCTGCGACGTGTACAACTACGGGGGCCTAGCAGGGGACCACCAAAAAAACAGAGGTGGAATTACGACCATGGGGCAGACCCCCCCCCCCCACCAGCCAAAATCTAAAAAGAAAAGAAAACCCCCACAAAAGTACAACATTTCCAGGAGGAACAGAACCAGCCGCTATGATAATAGTAGACAAGCTGCACAGTACGTTGCACCCCTACCAGCGATGATACTATCTCCAACCCAGGGCCAAACAGTGGCTAAGAAAACCCCTGCTGACCCCAAGGGTGGGCAAACACCATGCAGCAAAAGATCCCTGTAGAGGTAGTTCCCTAACGACTTGTGGAAGGCAACCTCAAGACGCAATGGCAGTACTTTCAGGTACCTGGAGAAGGGAGCCCTAGGCACATGCAGCTCCAGTACTTCTGATATTACTCCCGGCTCACATACCACAACACAGCAGAGCAGCACTGCCAGGGCACAGCACTGCCCAGAGACCAGAGTCGGAGTCGAATGACCGCCACGCAACACATCAGCCTTAGAACTGCGGGTGGATAGCCGGCATGGGGTCTGGGACTCCCGTTCCCCCTCCCAGGGAGGGGGGGGAGCTGCGCAGAAAGGTGGCGCTGCGGTGGGTGTGACATCAAGCTCATTTGCTCGTTTTCAGATTGGGGAGTTCTGCTTAGCAGTTCAGTTTTCGGTAGAAATGTTTCACCAGTTGGGGTTTGATTTGGGGCGCTTACATTTCTGGGTGCCTAACTCGAAAGATGGCAGACATAGAATGCTTCCAACCACATGGGAGGTTTCTATTGATCATTGCTCCTCATGCCTGAGAGGGCCAGGTTCTGACTCATAGTCCCGGGTAGACTAGAACGCCATTCAAATTGACTGATGCCATGGTCTAATACACACATATCAGCTCCAGGGAAACTCTCCACAGAAATAAATTTACTATTGGATGAGTCAGTACCCCCTTTTCTGCTAAATTGCCTTGGTGAATAGCTATTTTTTTTAGTTGAAGGTTTTTTTAATACCTCAAATATGAATACATAAATAAGAGTCGACCAGAAGCTGAATGTTCCCTTCCCACTAACTGTACTATAATAATAAATACAGCTATTCAACTTATGATGAAACAAAAACAACAACAACCCTGCTCGTGCCACTTGGTTAATCAGCAAACATAAAATATAAACAAGAACATTTTATTAAAGATACACACAACAAAAGGGGTGCATTACGTATATATGGCTCACTAGCTGTGTGCATGCCAGGCATTATCAAAACCTATTAACATCCTGCAAGCCTTTACAAACAATAAAACACTATATATTAAAGCACTAAGACTATATGCTGCAAAATATTAAAATAGTAACAATCATTCATATAAAATCAATATATCAAAGAGTATAACAAACTTGATGTAAGAGCTACACAAGAATTCTTCATAATATATACAGTACTAGCAACAGCAAACGTTGATTTCTCAAGCATAGGTTAAAACAGACAAAGAGACTCACCACTTTGGCATGTTATTAGCTCGTATCCAGCATCCTCCCCCAGTCACCCACAACCACAGGTGTTCTGCTTCTAGTGGAAGCAGTTTGTAGTTTGGGCCTTCCTCTCTTGGGACCACAAGCGATCCCCGACTCAGACTTGCTTCACTGCCGGCACTACTGCTGCTAGCATGGCGGAGGCGTGACTCGCTCCACTCGAGGCTTGCATGTGTGTTCGGCTGCTGGACACAGGCCGAGACATGTCCCTGATCCTCTTTTCTCCTAGTGTCACTCACTGCGTTATCCCTTTGGCATTTTATATGAAAATCTTCTCGATTCCTGATGTTCGTCTTGTCATCAGCTTGGCTTGCTGTATTATCACTCTCTATTTCAGGAGAACTATTTGGGCTTGCTAACAGAGCATCATTGGGCATATCACGACTATTGATGGCTTGGAGGCTGCTGATGAAATCTCCACCTTGATCAGACACAACTGATGAGCTGAGAGAGCTGGGATAGTCTTCGGGGTACTGGATTTTGATGCTCGACTCCCTACTGTCATCGTGATGCAGCGTGTCATTACTTTCATGCTGAACAACAGCTTCTTGTTCTTTTCCATGTTCTTCCTGAATAGGGCTTCTCTCATTCTCTCCGAGAGCCAATATATCGCTACTTTCCTTGATTGTTCCTGCAGGCTGGGCTCCCTGAAACTGAAGATTATTTAGTACTTTCTCTGCACTAGCCAAGTTAATGTCACCTTCTGCTCCTAAAATGGATTTAGTGATGGAATTAGGACTGTCCTCCTGTCCTTTGGCTCCTCTTTCAGTAAAAGTGTCATTAGTTATGCTACTGGGCATTTTTACAGTGGGGTGAGGAAGTGGGCTTGAACTTGGGCTGGGGTTCACACTTGGAGGCGGGGTTTCGACTGCACCAATGGGAAGGCAGATGGATCGCCAGGTTCGTCCAGCAAGCTCTGTTTCTGACACGCCTGTTCGTAGCACAATGGTGTGGTCCTCGTTACTTACGCCCCACACCTGAGAGATTGAAAAATCACAAGTAAACAAACCAGCATTGAATGTAATGAAATGCCTCCACCACATCAGCAGGAGAACCCAAACACAAAAAGACCAACAAGAATAAAACCCTGGGCTTGCCCTCACAACACAGCATCATCACGAAGTGAACTAAAAGAAAGAACTACCCAAGGGCTACCCTGACAGAAAATTATACGAATTGAACCCCCCAAAAATGCCCCTTGCCACAACAAAAACCTATTGTGAAGAGGTCCCAGGACCCAACCACCACTGGAAAATGGAAAAGAAAATTAGTTACGGCCCAAGGTCCCCGTGACAGTTGAACTCAACAAAACAACCACCGAGTATTCCCCATTTGCCAGCTTCTCATCCCAGAAATGCAGAGTTAACAAGGGCCATCCTAGGCAAGAAGAATGTGGATGTGAATGTGATTAAATGAAAACAATGCCAAGCTGAATAGGAACAGAAGGGAAGGGAGAGAAGGAATGAAGAATAGGAAAAGGACCATGGGGTAATGCCCTCAGAGAATAGAGTTCCTCATCCCGTCAGGGTAGGAACCAATTCAGTGGTAAACCAGCCCGTCCTCCTAAGGCTTCCCAACGTCAAGAAACTGTCATACTAAAGTGCCCTTATCCTAATCTACCAGAGGACCCAAAACAGAAAACGGGACAGTATGTCAATTTCGTGAGCCACTACCATTTCCAGTATGAAAATTTTTGTTTTTAGGTAGAGTATACATCAAAATGCCACGTTTTATTAGGGGGAATGCGTTGGGTAAACAGATGCCATAACAAAAGAGGAGTTGAAGGTCCCAGGGTAGAAGGGTTAAGTTACCCATAGACAGTATAGCAAAAGTGGTAATGAATGACCATGGGAATGCAAAAATATTAGATGGCCATCTACAAACTTGCATCACCGCCAGTACGGAACTTGGCTATTTTACAAGCCAATTCCAACGGCACGTAACAAAGGATGGGGTCAGCGAAGGAAAATGAGGCAGTGATATAGGCAAAACAAGCGTCAGGCAACTTCATATCACCACCACCACAAAGTGACACTTGAATGTGACACCAAAACACCAGCTACCTGCTCAGTGCTCACTATACAAGTGGAGATACATCCAGATCAGAAAGGCCAGACGTGAAGATCAGAGAAGGCAGAACCAGAACACTGTTAGGCCAATCTGCTGAAAGAGGTGGAGCCACAGGAAAAAAAAAGCGAGTTCAGACACCAGGCCAGAAGAGGCAGAAACCAAGGCTGAGCCAGTCACTAAGGAGCCAGAAGGATGACCCTCCGGAAGTAAAACACCAGTCTGGACAACACGCGCAGCAACATCCAAACCAGGTTAAGAGGTACTGTACATGCACCTCCACTTTGACTGCACCCACTCACATGCCAAATAAATGACTGGAACATGGCAATGATAGAAGGAACACTTGTATACTTTCTGGTGGGGTTTTTCTTGGATCTAAAGTGATCACTAATCTCCAGACTTCCCTTTGAAGGGACTAGATATGGGTTCTGGTGCATGTGGGTCCTAGAGAGTCCCGGTGAGGTCCCACAATTACTTTTTTTTTCAGGGAAATTCCTGAACAAGCCATAAGCCTCTGGCTGGCCCACTAACCACACTTGCTGGCTTCCAAGCTGTAGCGTCAAGGAGCTACTAAGGGGTTCTCTAGTTACAGTATCTACCGAGACATTAACAACACACACACATGGCACTTCTGAGTAGTGTATATAAAAAGTAAAATATTTGTACACTGCAGTTATTTATAGTTATAAGCATGTTTATTAGATTGTTTATGACCATTATTTAAATAATGGTCATATAATAAATTTAGAAAATATACTGTAATTTTAGAGGAAAATCACCAAGTATGGGTGGTACAATATGACAATTGTTTATACAAATTTTTCAATTTGCAAAACTATTTATATCTTTAGATAATTTAATTTGATTTTTAGCAGAGCAGCTTTCAGTCCTAAAGTCTCCAAAGTCAAAAACATATACATACATACATACATACATACATACATACATACATACATACATACATATATATATATATATATATACACACAGTACATAAAACATATCGCTATACATACTGTCCATTTGTTGTACACAATAGGTTTTTAGCATGGGGGGCCTGACAGCTGAGTGAACAGTGCTCAGGATTCGTAGTCCTACGATTCCGGGTTCGATCCCAGGCAGAGGCAGAAACAAATGGGCAGAGTTTCTTTAACCCTGATGCCCTCGTTCAACTAGCAGTAAACAGGTACCTGGGAGTTAGACAGCTGCTACGAGCTGCTTCCTGGGGATGTGTGTAACAAAAAGGAGGCCTGTTCGAGGACCGGGCCGCGGAGACGCTAAGCCCTGAAATCATCTCAAAATAACCTCAAGATAGAAGAAGCATTACAGTAAATACTAGAATAGTACGTAAGCTGAGGAATTTCAATGACTTTCATTTTTTGTACAAGAGAAGAGGCATGTACATGTAAGAGGTGTCATGAGCCAACTGTGTAAAACACACAATACAGACATATGTGCAAAAACCAACATTGGAACAAGCTACAATTTTCACTCTGGTTAAAACAATATACTATATGTATTTGTAATATAAAACTGAGGGTAGTTTTGTTTTTAAATGTGCTTGTTAATGCTAACAATTCCTTTAACCACTGTGCTGCGCCAACCAATAAATCCTGTTCCGAGAGTTGTGCTTTTTTATTTAATTAAACTATATTTTAATGTTTTCATCAATGTTTTGAAATGAAAATGGCCGATTTTGGAAACATTTTGACATTAACTTTACCTGCATATTTATAAAAACAAAAATATGACCTTAACAATTGCATTACGAAGTTTTTGCCAAGAACAGGTGCACACTGCAGGGGTTAATGGAATTATATTAAAAGTTAAGTAACAAGTAAATGGGACAACTTTCCCCTGCTGATAATTCTTTTCTTTGTGGCTACAATCCCTCGACAGCACCACCACCACCTCTTCACACTGCCTTTTCTTTATTACAAACTAGTTTTTCACTGTCATTGGCCATGGAAAACCATGATAAACCTGTTCTCAACAATACGAAACCCTTTCCTGTTTCTCCTCTTCTTTTCTATTTGTAAATAGCTGATAAACCAATCCTCATTCTTTCTGCACATTTCTATTTTGGTCCTAGCAAATGCAGTTGAAGACTCGCATGTGGTGGCCAAACGTGGACATAAAATTTGCATGTGAAACTTACTTGAAAATAATTTGAACAGTCTTACAACAATTCTAAGAAATTGTATGATAAAGATATCTGGAGGATACTTTCCAAGAGGCCTACTCTTGTTGATAGGAGAAAGGTCCCAGAAGAAACAGTATGATGATGACACTGATGGAAACCCAACCCAAAAACAATCAATCACCCCTCCATACACACACACACACACACACACACACTTTTAATCCATAATCATTTTTGGATGTTTAGAGAAGGAAATTTCATCTAGGGTGGACCGAGCGGCAGAAGAGATGAAAATCATAGAGAAAATAGTAGGTTTAGGAGAAGGCTCAAAGGAAAATGTCAGTGATTTTAGAAGAATAGGAAAATATGAGAAAGAAAAGAACCGCCCCTTAAGGGTGGCGTTTAATGGAGTGAAAAACATGATGGAAGTGCTAAGAAATGCCAGGAAACTGCAGAATGATGAGGTTGGCAAACTTTGGTCAATAAGACAAGACCTCTCCAAGGAAGACAGAGAAAAGCTGAAAATGAACCTAATTGAGGCAAAACGTCTAAATGGGGATAGAAATGAAGAAGACAGAAATTCTTTTTTTTACAAAGTGACAGGGACTGGAAAGCTTGTGAAATGGTACATAAAAACAAAGCAACAAGATCATTAATGGAAGGGGGGAGTAAAGAGCAAAGGAAAAGGGAACATGTTCCTGAAAATTGTATATACCAACATAGATGGCGCGAGGTCAAAAACTTTGGAGTTGCAAGATGTAATCCAGCTTAGGGTCCCAGATATTGTTGCATTATCAGAGACAAAACTTGAAGGAAATATAATAAATGAAGTCATATTCCCAAGAGGCTATTCAGTTTGGAGACGTGACAGGAAAACTAGGAAGGGAGGAGGAGTGGCTGTACTGGTGAAAAAACCAGCGTTGAATGTAATGAAACGCCATTTTCTGGGTGAGTCCTGGAGGCTCCCCGGAGCTATCCCAGGCTGATATGCTAATGTCAGACTTTGGCATCAGTCATGTGTATGGAGTTCTTAGGCCTACCGGGGACCACGGCCAGAACCGGGCCCCCCTCAGAGAGGCAAGGGGAGCAATGGCCTATAGAAGCCCCCGTGTAGTTGGAAGCATTCTATGTCTGCCATCGACCGGAACAGGCACCCAGAAAGGTAAGCGCCCCAAAACAAACCCCTATTCTGGTTAAAATTGCTACCTAAAACCGAACTAGTGGATAGAACTCCCCAACCGAAAACAAGCAAACTAGTGTGACGTCACACACTGCCGCGCCGCTGTCTGCGCAGCTCCCCCCTCCCCGGGAGGGGGAAGGGGGAGCCCCAGACCCCCCGCGCCGGCTACCCACACCTCAGTTCTTGAGGCTGGATGTCAAAAACGCGAAAAACCGCCGACCGGAGGGAGGGAGGGATGCCGGGGAGCCTCCGGGACTCACCCAGAAAATGGCGTTTCATTACATTCAACGCTGGTTTTCTGGGGGGAGCCCCGTCGGCTCCCCGGAGCTAACTACCCACAGACAGAAAAAGAGGGACTTACCCGGGAGGCGGTCGTCGCTCACCCCTCAACTCGAAGCCGAGACAACTGGCTGCAACCGCCGACCCAAAGCAACACAGGCCCGACGAGGCCCAGGGACATTCACAAGGTAACGAGCAGCCAGGACCCTGTTCGACCGCCAAAATCCCCGCGCCCGAATATCAGACCAAGACATATTCCCAAAGACGGCAGCAAGAGCCGCGAACTTACGAACGTCATGGGCACG